TTAGAATCAATGTCTAGGGTTTCGGAATCTTCGCAACTTTTCTTCTCTACTCAATTTAGATTTAGATCGATCAAACAGCATCCAGCTTATCAATTCATGAGATTTTAGTTATTCGGTTGCTTTTAAGATCAAAATATGGCAATATATGAACTTGCAAAAACAGAGTATTCACAAATCAAACAAACTACTTCTTCATCTAATTAAGATCAAAATATGTCGGTAATCGTCAAACAAACGATGCCGATAAGGAGCAAAGAGAGAATAAGAATGAATGTGAAGTCAATAACGAGATGGGAGAGATAGACGTAATCGAAGATTGAATTCATAAAAAAAAAAAAACAGATTGAATTCATGATAACTCGCAACTTTGCGCAACAAGTGTCCACACACTTCTTATGGAAGTCGTGGAAACTTTTTCACGAAGCTATTAGAACGACCACGTAGATGGTGGAAGAAGAGATACGTTTGGGTTTAGTAGAATGGGAATGCCAATGTGCAACGCAAATTTTCGAGAGGCTGAAAAGGGGTAGCATCGTGGTTTGAAGGACAATGAGGTTTGTTGCCTTGTCGTATTAAAATGGCGATTCCAAATTTGTTACAGAGAGTAACTAACAGAAAACAGAGCGAGAGGTGTCCAATGAGAGGCCAGTGCATAATAGCACAAAAGGTCCAAAAATTGCTCTTACTGATCCCAAAAGATACGTTTCAAAACAAAATTAAACTCTTGAAGGCAAACTAAAGCATACTGTAGTTTGTTCTGAAAACTAGGAAACAGAGTATAGTGTTTAAGCAGCTTGTTGATCAGCAAGTCTCTTCCTAGCTTCCTCAATGATGGTCAACTTAATACCTTTTCCCTTTGGAAGAGACACCCATGGTTTTGTTCCTTTCCCTATTGTGAACACATTTCCCAATCTCGTAGCAAACTCATGTCCTGTTGAGACTTGAATGTGAATGGTTTCAAAGCTTCCCTTGTGTTTTTCACGGTTCTTTATCACACCAACTCGCCCTCTGTTTCTTCCTCCAGTCACCATCACTACGTTGCCAACATCAAACTTGATAAACTCCACAATCTTGTTAGCTTCAAGGTCGAGCTTGATTGTGTCGTTAGGCTTGATGAGCGGGTCGGGGTAACGGATGGTGCGACCATCGTATGTGTTCAGGTAAGGAATACCCTTCTGACCAAACTGGATAGATCTCACCTTGCATAGCTTGAACTGCACAACAACATATGAGGATACTTGTTGTAAGACTATTATACAAACTGGTAAATCATCATGCGGATTTATCAGGCCTCCAACGCCAAATACAGACTTGACTTTTGTTTCGACAGATTCAGTATTCGGAAGTATAAAAGGATTCAGGAGAACAAACCTTTGCTTCCTCATCCCTGACGGAGTGAAGACGGAAACGTCCCTTGGTGTCATACAAAAAACACAACATCTGTCAACAACAATGCATCATCAATTAAAAAAAAAAATCTGATCATAGAAGCAGAACATGGAAATCAAGAAGCACAATCATAATACTCACCCATGAAACCAGCAGGGTATGTCTTGTCAGTCCTGACTTTCCTATCAACTTGAATATGCCTTTGCATCAAGATCGAAATCACTTCACTGTATGTCAGAGCATATTTCAACCTGTCTCTGATGATAAGAACAAGGGGTAGGCATTCCCTAGACTTGTGTGGCCCAGAAGAAGACGGCTTGGGGGCCTGCGCAGAAAGAGCATCATAAGCACCGATCGAACGAAAACTAAGCTTTGATAAGATTCAATCAAACAAAGTGACTTACAAATGCACCACCAAGTTTGTCAAGCATCCAATGCTTAGGGGCATTGAGCCTCTTCTGATGCTTCTTCAAACCTCTTGCCTGCAGACAATAAAAGGGATAAACATAAAAATCAAAACTTCAAGTCAGTACTGGATAGTCCACAAAGTTGAGCGAAATTATCATTCAAGACATCAATTCAGTATCCAACAAATTGAATCCAATTTTGGAGGTCTCAACAAGGCCAGTACTAAAATCGATCCAAAACCCATATTACAGATCGAAATCAAATAGACTGAAGCTAATAAAGCAATTAACTTTAGAAACATTGACAACAACAAAAAAAACCCAGAACTATGATCTAGATCGACATAGCGATTGTACCCAGAAAGAAGGATAGAGATTATCGTCGCGCACAAAATGAATTCATAGATTGAGACAAACTATCCGAACTAAAAGAACACATTGGCACAATCGCTTGTGAGTACGAGAGTAAGAGATGAAAGATTACGAACCATGGTTGCAGAGAATGCGTTCTGATCCCCTCCGCAGCTAAGCTAAGCTGGTTCTCTCTGTAATGCAGTCAATCAATTTCTTCTAGGGTTTGAGAAGCGAAACATAAAACCCTAATTTTTTAACACGCGTAGTCCAAAAAACTCTTTTCCACACGTGTGAAGTTATGCAGGCCCAGTATAGGCCCAACTATTACTATTTACGTTCTGATATTTTAATTTTACTAGCTAAAGGTTCTGAGTAGCACTCCGATTAATATGTGAAATACAATACGGTTTGGACGCAATGTCATTACTCAAAATCTGTAAAAAAATATTATTCAGCTATTGTACTTCTCCCCAAGTAGTGAAATTATTTTCACATTTATCTTCATCTCACTAACATCTGGTTTTTCTTCAGAGAACAGTAAATTAATTTACTTGTGATTTGAGTCAAAATTCTAGTATAAAACTCTACTAATCTTCCTAGAGCTTGTTAGAAATCCACCCAAAGATCACTACTTTTAAGTCTTTTATATTGACAAATCTTTATCTAATATACCACTTATCTAAAAATATGTTTTACAATCTAAAAAATCGTTTCAAAATTTACTACAAAACACTGTACACTGAGAAAAAAAAAACAGTTATGCCTTTGTTTTTGATTTATCAAAATTATGTCATTATCCACCATTGTCTCTATTTCGTCCACCACCATCTCCGTTTTGTCAACTATCATCTTCGTCCACAATCACTACCGTCTTCTTTGTTCACCATTACCACTCTCTATGAACAACCACCGTCTTGTCTTTTTGTTCACCGTTTTTTTTGCACCTCAACAACCACTGTTTCTGTCTACAACCATCATCTCTATTTTCTTGTCCACTATCCACTACTGTTTCTGTCCACATCAACAACCTCCGCCTTTGTC